GGTAGAATGTTCTAGTGCCATGCCTCTTCCAGATGTCTCAGTTATTTTCCTTTAACTCAACTCTCCAAGTTTTTGGTTCACCACTGCTGTGACCTGGAAGTGAACTCACAACTCTTTGGGTCTAGTCATTGGATCTAACCAACATCCTTATCCACTGGGGCATGTGTCCTTGAAAAAGGCCAAAGCGTACAACAGCTGAAACATTGTCAATATGGCAATGAAGATGAGGATAACAGTCCAAATAATATAAATAATGCAAGTAACCAATTTTAGTGCTTGAAAATATTTACTTTATTAGGATGAGATTGCCTAAGTTATTTCTTGACAGATCTCAATTTCTGAAATATTTTACAACTTGTCACATATTTTTGTCTACCACCTTTGGTTTTCAAAAAGTCATTAAAAAGAAAATGTAAAGAAAATAAAGAAATCCTGTCAAAGGGCATGTTTTCTTTATTAAAGATTGTTAAAATACCCAGGTCAGTAGAGGAAAATATAGTTTAAAAACAGAGACATCTACTCAAGCATGTATATCTGCTAAATATAATATATATTTAGTATAAGAAATAATGATGTATTATGGATAGAAATTCATTAATTCCTAAAAAATATTTACATTTTGGATGTAAAAATAAAAGTCAGTAGATATGGACCTTGAAAGATATTAATGAGTAATTTGCTTTTCTTTATAAGGATATTTAATTCCATGAGTTCTATGCTAACAATTTCTTTTCTTGCATTTCTCATTTGTGGAACTCCCTTCTGGCTCCATGATTTCTAGCCAACTTTAATCTTCAAAAATTTAAATGCAATGTTACTCAAATTCTACTGTCCTTCTGATTACACTTTTTACTCCTTAGTAAAGTTTCTGTTTTCTAATTCTTCCACACTCAGTAAACCCTTGTGCTTGAACTTTCCATCCTCCTTAAATCCTTGAATATTGATTGAACCAGTCCTACTGTATGGATCAGAAACTTGGACATTATCAGTTTGTCTTGAAAGGGATGGAACATATAAAAATCTAAGAAAAATACGGAACATCAGTTGGAGATCCCATGCAACACTTAACACAATTTATGGAGAAATAAGACCAATCATTCTTCAGCTCAAATAAAAGCAATTACAGTTTGCCAGTTGCTGCCATTGAATGGACAGGAAATTTGTCTCATTCTAATTCCTATGGCATCCTTTTGGAAGTGTCTTCTCATGAAAATTGACTTTCCCAGACACCATAGTGTGGGACTCGGGGTTGGAAATTGGGGATCTGGAAACAACAATGCAGGACCAAAAACTGTAGAAAGGGATTGTCAATGGAGTTCTGGCCAACCATAGGGAGGTCGAAGGATGATAATGATGAACCCCCTTGTGTTCTAGTGACTTTACTTCTTTGCTTAGTGTGAAATCAAATAAAAAACAAATACAGGCCCAAAATAATCCAGCAAAATTCACTTTGTGAAGCCACTGTGCTAACATACTGTGAAATAGTTAAAAATTATCTTCTTCTTGGACTGTTTGGGATTACCTTGATTACTGTGGCTGACCCCTTTTTGAATTTATTGCTTTGATTTGAAATATTTTGTTAAGTCACAGTCAAGCTGTAACACAGCTTGACTGTTCTATTCCAATAAATATTTTCATGATAATTGTTCTGATGAGATTTCCTAACTCCTGGACCACAAAGAAAACAGACATACCATAACCATGATTAAAACTTCTAAAGATACAGTAAATACAAACTTTTCTTTGGTTGCTCCAACTCTGTGCAAGGCTGACTTGAGCTTGACCATTAATACAATGCTTATACTTACTTACTCTAACTTCTGAACTAAAAGGAAAACAAATGTACCCAAGAGACAATGAGAATATTGTTTGAATAAATGGTCTGTAGTAGAAACTTCAATTTTTTGTATGCTTCTTGTCTTCTTTGTTAACATATGAACATGCACCACACCAAAAATATACACCAACTGTACAACCTTTGAATTTCTATAATGCCAACACTTTTGTTAACATATGATTATCTCTTTTGAATGTCTGAGATCAAAACTTGTATCTTCTTATGTTGTGCTCTTTTCAGTAATCAATGTCCCTTGTTTCTTCTTCTATATGCTGCATCCCTTTAGGACATAGTAGAAAGCTGTGGAGACCCATGATCGCCTATGTGTTGCCCTTAGTAGTGTTTCTCCTTTTACTAAGGCTCCTGTCTCCTATTCCACCATCCATTCATGCAAGCTCATCACTGCCTTTCTCTATCTTTCTTGTCTTCAATATGTCACATGTGAGTTGTTTTCCAAGCCTCCCTTCCTTAATATATGTCCAAGGAATTTTGGCTGTCTCTTCCTGATTCAGAGTATAAGTGTTCTTTCTGTTGCCATTTTCTTTAAGACTTCATTGTTGCTTACTTGCTCCATCCAAGTAATTTTCATCATCCTTCTGTAGAACCACATTTCTGCTACCTCCAGTTTTCTCCTTATCTGTGGAGGAGATTACCCAGCATTCACTGCCATATAAGTGGATAGATAACATATGGCAATTCAGCATTCTTACTATAAGGAAAACAGAATCTATATTAACAAAGTAAGAGCATACATACTTAACATGGTATATGTAAAAATAACTTCACATTAAATGAGCAATGTACCTAACCCTCTTCACCAAAACACAAAGTAGTCAATATTCATTATACTCTAACTGTGAATAAATAAAACCAATGTAAATTCCTCTCCACCTTATAGGTAAAAACATTTCTACTGACAAAAAAAAACTTAAATGAATTTCTTAATAAAACAAAATGAAAGTATTATTAATTGATTGTTAGCACAGCTAAAATCAATAAATAGTTCTGAATAGGTTATTCATAATAAGATCATTTTATTTACTCATGTTAATCTGATTTACATCATTTGAAGCAGCTTTGTATCAATATTCAAAAACCCGACATTGACTTGATAATGTCATCTTTGAGTCAGTTTGAAGAAAACCTAACAGAAAAGATCTTTAGAGCCACACAGTTTGTTTTAATTGCCTATTATGAAATCCATCTAATTCTTGTAATATGGCTTCCTTGATAAAAACCTCTTAGAATCTGAATACTTAACACAAATATGGCTCCACATTGCTTATATCAGCTTAAATGCCCATGCAAAATTCAATTGATCTTGAAAAGATATGCAACTTGTCACATATGCATATGTCTTCTTATCTATATTTAATTTTTCTTGTGATTACATTTAAAAAAAAAAAAAAATTAAAATTTTAATTCACAAAATGCATTCTGTTTTTTGGACTATTTGATCATTTTTCAACAAAAAAATATTTGATAAGTGTTTATTCTTTCCTTCTCATTGATCCATTTTTTAAAAAAATATATATATATTTAATTTTTTCATTATGAAATTTAATATATCACAATTTTTATACCTTTCCATCCTAACCTGCCTTGTAATCTTTTGCTCATTGTCTCCTCAGCCGACAAGCCTGCTTATTTATATTTTACTTTCATTTTCAACCCTTCCCCCTTTTCCATACATATTTTTTTCTTTCACCTGATTTTCCTTTTTGTTTTTCTCTAGATTTCTTAGCTCTTACCTTTCTTCATTCATATCTACTTTCCTCTTCTTGCTCAATTTTTTTTTCAAAATTCTTCCTCTTCATATTTTTATTGGAATTTCTCTCTTAGCTCAGAAGGACTAGAGATTTGGCAGATTGACCAGATACTACACTATGATCCTTAGTAGAAAAACATAACAGTTATATATACAAATAAACTGAATAATAATATAGATCAAAAGTGTTGGGGATCAAGCACTTTACTCTGTTTCTCGGTAGAAAAGTGTAACAGTCAGATATTCAAACAATCTCTGGACAAAGTTGAATGATAAAATGAGTTTTGAAAAAGGCATGCAACTTTCAATTTTTAGGTTATTTCCAGTGAATGGTCCCAAACTTTTGGCCAAGAGTGTATGATGAAGGTATAAGCTAGGATATGGTTTATCGTGGAAAACAGTTTGCAAAAAAAGTTAGAATTTAAACTGAGACTGCTTGCCTTTTGTTCAGTTCAGCTTAATGTGCTTTCAAAAGGCATGAATCCACTTCTTCCTGTGTTCTTTCCTGTAATTGGGTATCTTGAAAAAATTATCTTGTTACTTGCATGCCACAGTGAAGAAGGTTGGTGAGAAGGTATTTGTGCAAACCAATTTCCTATAAGTAACTTAACACCAAAACAGACAGATAATGAACAGGCTGAAATAGATAGATAATAAATAGGTTGAAATAGATAGATATATAGATAACTAATGAACTGGCTGAGATAGCTAGCTAGTTAAGGAACCAGTTGAAATAGATAGCTAATGAACAGGCTGAAATTGATTGAAAGATATGAACAAACTTAGATATTCACAAAATGATATAGATATAAAAAGGATGATTGAATCTTGATGTGCTATGAAAGCTTTCCATTGCTGAGTGATCTAAAGCAAATCAGCAAAGATAATGATTTCTCCTATAGTGTGCATGCAAGTTCAAACACTGCCAGAAGACATATTTGCTTTATTAAAATTCTCTTGAATGTACAGACTGGTAGAGGCTAATTTATACCGTTTTAAAAACAGGGATGTCTACTCAAAAATGTGTATCCACTAAATATAAAGTTATAAGTTATATATGTATATATAAAAGGCTCAAACACTAATATTCCATGGTTATAATTTATTACATTGTTATCGTAATCATGATCCAATTCATTAGACCTACAAATTCAAAATTTAAATTTGTAAGTCTGATGAATTGGATCACGATTACAATTCCAATGTAATAAATTATAACCATGGAATATTAATCTTGAGTTTTTTATATTATATTCTTTGCTCTGTACTGTACATTGAGCTCTAGCTGGAATTTATCCTCTTGAAAATATATATAGGTAGTGACCATTATTTTTATATATATATATATATATATATATATATATATAAGATTTTAGGAATGTTTAATTACTGCTATATCACATTGAAACACCAGTTCTCAGTTGATCACTGAAGTTAAGCAATGTTGGTCCTAGTCAGTACCTAGATGGGAGACTGCTTGGGAATACTAGGTGCTGTCAGCTTGTATGTGCATTTTGTGTAATGGAATTGAAGAGCAGAGTTCAATTTCCAGTTGGGTGCATTATATTCACTTGCACACAAATACCCTTTAGAAAGGTATGAATCCACCTCTTCTTCTCACAGATATGGGTTAAATAGGAGGATTTGTATTAGTAAATCATTATTATCTCCCCAATATTCTTAGTCTAAAAATAGCTTTAAATAACCTGCAAAAGGTCGATAAGCCATAAAAAAAACAAATTAATAATAATCAGGCAGATAGTTTGTGAAGTGTATCTACATGCATATTCACATCAGGAAATAGTATTGTATTGTGTTAATTGTCTAAGTCTGTAGGTTGAGCTTGTCTTGAAAATCATAGAGAATAAGGTTTGAATCAACGAGTTAAATTCAAATTCTGCTCTTGCCTGTTACATCCTTTTTTACACTATCGGCCTTGGGAAAGGCATGAATCTATCTCTTGTCCACCCCTACCATCCAACTGTGGGTTTAATAGCTGAGTAACTGGGCTCTCTAGTCTTGAATGGTAAGCAGTCTAAAAAGAAGGAAATCTCTGAATTTCAAACTATAGAGAAGGCAAAAGGAAACCATTCCACTATCTTTCCCAAGAAGGCATATATAAATTTTGAAACAGTTACTGGATTTTTATTTTTAATCAAACATATTTTTTATTAATTCAAATGTTATTTTTAGTGAATACTTATATTTGAATATAACATCCGTTTTGTTTTGTTTTTTTTACACAGTAATTTTTTTTGTCTACTTGGCTTGTGCTGTCACACTGCTGGAGTAGATGAAATAAACACTCTGTACTATAAACATGTTCTATTCAAATATGGGTATCTGCTAAAAATAAGGTTTAAAGTAATAAACTTAGATATTTACATATATATATATATATATATATATATATAATTCTTTATTTTAAAAAATTTATAACATAAATATGTTATAAAATCACTACAAAAATAGCCATTTTGTTTCAACACTCTCAGTGTCTTATCAAGTGATGATGTAGAATGTAAATAAATGGTTTTAAAAGTTTCGAATTAATTAACAATCCTTCACAAGGGGAAAACGTTGTTACAAAAGCTAGATGGACCAATCAATATACAAGTATAGGAAAATTCAAAAAGCTTGACAATGAAGTCATGTTATAATAGCTATTCAAATATTTAAAATATGGGTAGTATTAAAAAAGAATTTATTCTAATCAATAATTACTAGATTATATGATAAAGTTTAATATTAAAATTAAAAACTGCTAATTTCAAGATCAAAATTTAATCGCTATTAAGTTTACTGAGGAGAAAAGAAGAAGAGAAGAAAAGAAGAAGAATATATATATATATATATATATATATATATACACACACATATATATATATATATATATATATATATATATATATATATAAAAAAAAATATAATATGTTGGGTATATAACAAATACACTAATAAAAAGTCTTATGCTGCACATGTCTGACCATTCATGCATTGGGAGACATCTGCAATAACATTTCTGTCCACATTCACAATAGAAAAAATTACTAATCAAAAACACATCTATTCTACACCATGAAAACAACAAATTTAGATTACAGATACTAGAAGCAATTTATATTAAAAAATTAAAGCTGGCACTGAACAGAATCAATTATGAATACTGCAATGATGTTCTGAAATGCCTGTACAGGAACAGTTTTTTTCATGCTTTAATGCGTGCGTAACCATGACGCTATAACATAGAGAAATGGGTAATTTTTTCACATTCTAATGAATGCTCAACTGTTTTGCATTTAAAAGCATAATGAAAAAATGACGGTAATGGATAACAACACACATCTTTGTATAAATACTTATACTAATGAACAACATATAGTTTTGTACCACTGGCACCCCTGAAGATGACCTTGAAAGAAGATCAAAAGTACTTGGGAAATTAAAATAAAAGAAATTTAAACAGCTATAGCACATTTCTCTCATCCTTTAACATCAATGCATGGAAGGTTATTCGTGAGTATGAACGGATTTTGTTAAAAATTAGCAGACATAATGTCTGTAATTTATTCAATCAGACATGCTTAAAAGAGAATTTGCTTCCTAAATACACAAATATATGCACACACACACACACACACACACACATATATATATATATATATATATATATATATATAACACTGTAATACTCTGTTTCTCAATCACTTTAAACAAAGGAACACCTAGGAGCAAATGAAAATATCATGGCACACTTTACAATTTTTTTTAAAAAGGATATACATTTAAATGTTATGAAATAAAACCATAAAATTTTAATTGAACAATGTTGAATACAATTATATGAAAAAAATTGTTAATATTCATTTATTCAAATAAAGGAAAAAATTTTAAAAGTTAAATTAAAGAAATAAAAATATTTTTTAAAAAGTGAATATTAAAACAAAGTATTTAAAATAACATAATTGAAGAATAGTGAAAAGAATTATTTGAAAAAGTTTAATACTATTATTATTTCCACATCACACATATATGTATGCCATGAAAAACTTTTCATAGCACATGGTAGTTGAGAATCACTATAATATAGGAATATGATTATAGAAACTCTATATATCAGACTAATAGGACAAACTGTATATACAGGGTTCCTATAAAATACATGTACTTGTAGCTTTATAACTATACATGATATAAACAATCTTTAAAAAGGATAACTTTTTCTGCCATCAGTTTAATGAAAAAATTTATATGGAATATTCAATTTTGAATAATTTAATGAAAGTTATCCAGCTTCTAAATAAAAAATTCCCTAAGAGGTGAATTGGAAGAAGTGAACCATTATCTTGGCCTCCATGGTCACCAGATTTGACTCCATTGGATTCCTTTTATGGGGACATGTAAAAATTAATGTTTATTCCACTAAAACGTGATCTTTAGAGGAATTGAAAGCTAAGATGATTAATGTGATTGTAGGTATTAGTGAAAATCAGCAGCAAAATGATTTCCGAGAACTACAGAATTATATTATCATTTTTACGTGTAATGATGGTGAACATATTGAAAATTAACAATTCCAATAATGAATTTAAATACTTCTTCTTTCTTATCCTTTTTACAGATTGTTTCTATCAAGTTTACTTATAAAGCTACAACTATTTTAAATTGCACACGGACTTTGTGGACAATATATATATATATATAAATTATTGATATGGTAATTTACTCATGCACGCATGGACTCTCCCAGCTATAAATAGGAGCAGGTACTGCCTTTTGGAGAGGGAAGTTTCCAGCAGTCATCTCTGACAGTCGGACCGAACAGTCTTGCTGTAACACTCTCGTTTGTATATGTTTGTATTACTGTTTCTGTTAATGTATTTGTTTAACTCAATTCTACACTAGTGTCTTTATTTTTGGCCCTAATAAGGCCACAACATTTATAATAGTAATAATATTTTGCTCTACTTTGTATTGAGCACATTTTTTTTCAAAAGTAAATGCTATGAACCATGGATTTTTACTCCATCTGTTCTTTTTCGCATTTGAGATATATATATATATATATATATATATATATATATATATATATATATATAACTGAAAAACGTCAAGACCACCCCCACCTTTTGCTTGTTAAGAGAAGATTTCTACATATGTAACACTACAGTCTCAACACCAAAATAGAATGACAATTGCATATATATGTGTGCTTGAATGCATGGATGTGTATCTGTGTCTAACCTCATTGTTTATATGGGTGTGTTTGTACAAACTAAAATGCATATGCTTGTATGTACGTGTGTTTATGTATGTGAGAATGTCATCTCAGACAAACACAGAAGAAAATTTCCCCACCTCCACCATGCACAAATAATCAAACACAAAGAAGCATAAATAGATCCACTTTTTCAAAAAAATAAACCAGTTTGTCTGATGATCGCAAAAGCGTGAAACCCGGGGTTATAAACTAATATCTATACAACTGAATATGTTAGTTCTATCACAGCTATTGAGCACTTTCCATTAAATACCATGCATATATATATATATATATATATATATATATATGAGAGAGAGAAAATAAGATTTTGAAAAACACCTAATATTTATATGTAATATTTATAATGTATTTTTACAGAGAAATATTAAAATTGTTTTACTTAGATGTCGGTTTTTCAGAAAAAATTGTTTTACTTTAATTGGTTTCACTTTTATCTTTTCAAAAAGTCTGTCAATGTTTATATTCCCAAGTGTTGACACTTATGCCTTGAACAAATGAAAAAATCAAGGGGTGTAACTGGTTTTATATGTCACTTATAGTAAGGAAAATATGATAGAATCTATTTTGAGAGGTGTGCCTCTGGTTTATGCAATGAATTGAGTATTGGTTTAAACTTGGTGATAAAAAATGTTTTTTTATTAATATGCTTTTGTTCAGTGGTTTTGTAGTTGTATTAGTTGGATTGGAAGATATTAATATTTGTCAGATTTTGTCCTCCGCATTCCCTGTATGTTGGCTAAAGGACATTTTTCTGGTGTAGGGATCTCTAATTTGTTGGTGATGAATTGTCATCCTTTGTCAGAGTGTTTGGCCAATGTAATGTTTGTGGTAACCATTTTTGAAGTGAAATTCATGGCCTTTTAATAGGTAGCTGCATACTCCACAGTTGGGTTTGATTGTATTTTTTCATCTGAGGCTTTTTAATTGTGGTCTGCAGTTTTGCACTCGTCAGTATCTTTTTTAGTGATTTTGGTTATTTACTTTTATGATTGGATATTTTTTAATAGGTTTTTCATTTTTTTTGTCCTTTAGTAGAATTGGTAGATTTAGTTGTATGTGTGTGTAGATTTCTGTGTTCTTTGGGTTGAAAGTTGAGATATAAGGGAAGACCTTTTTTTTTTCTTTTTGTTTCTCAGAGTGTGTAGATATTAATTTATTTTACTTTTTCAATTCTATTTTTGATTAAACTTTGAGGATATTTTCTCTTGAGTATTTT